TGTATATATATAAATAATTGTGTGTGTATATATATATACACACACACATATACCTCCTTCTATAATAAATTATTAATTAATTGTTTTACGCAAATAAATGCTACTATTTTAGTAACATTTAACAGCTCTCAAAACCCTAAGAATATCTCCTCTAGTGGCTGATTTCAACCCTAATAGACTTAAAATTAAATCCAGAAATTCACCGGACCAGACAGGACCTTACCGGGACATTAAACACCCCCACACGTGCCCCACGCGCCGCCACTTGCTGCACGCGCATAGACACACTGGCAGGCGGATCCACGCGCTGCCACGTGCCTTCACACGCCTATGTTGTGCTCCGCGTGTGCTGGCATGCACCCATTGGCCTACCCCTTGCATCAGGTGAGATTGCCCACATCAGATCCATCTCTAATGATCTAGCCGCCTCCACAGCTTTGGATCCGTGCCTACACCATAGAGCATGGAGTTGCGCCGCACCCAATCAATCCACCTACCTCCACATACTCCAATGGTCCAGATCCGCGAGTGTACCCTATCTCTATGCTCTGCACCACACCAAATCTTCCGATGATCATCAGGACCATCCTAAGGTCCTGATTGGTGCGCACTAAAGTGCCTTACACCTTGCCGCCCTGAAGCTAAGCCCATTAATTGGGTACGCCGTACAGTAGGTAGCCCCAGGTTGTTCTTATACACAACATATATATATATATATATATATATATATATATATATATATATATATATATATATATATATAATTTAAAATTTTATATAAAACAAAAATTCTAAAAAGAATTTTGAATACATAAAAAAAAAAAAAATTCAGAAAATTTTAGAAAAACTAAACAATTAATAATTAATATTCGAAGGCCAAGATTAACTTACATAATAATTTAATCAATCCATTTAATATACTTAATCATGATAAACATAGTTAAATCCAACTTAAATAATTTCAGAAAAATAAGAATTGAAGCATCATAATAACACATACATATATATACACATGATTAATCTACATATATGCAAGGAATTAATGTGCTCCTAATAATCTGATTAATAAATTATTTCAAATCCACAAAATAAAATAAAAAAAATTATAATTTTGATAATCAAGGTGAAAGGTTTATGAGTCCTAAGAGGAGAAGTAGAGAAAACTCGCTTGTCTCTTCCAAATCCGGCTTCCTCTTTCTCTGATCCGGCCTCCTCTTTGTCAGCCCTTCTTCTTCTCTCTCTGTCTCTCTTATTTTTTTCTAACGTGGAAAACCTTTAACAACCAAACCTTATGTGTATATTTATATACATAACCCTAATCCTATTACTAGTATGACTATTAAATAAATAAATAATAATAATAATCATCTTTAAATAAGATAATATATATATTACACACATATATTATATTATGTACATATATAAATACACATATATCCATAAATATATGTACATTCTTCCCTAATAATTATTAATTAATTATACTTATATAATTAATTAATTAGTCTCAAATAATAATAATAATTATATTTAGCACACCAAAAATCCTTTAAATAACCTCATAACCATGGGCTTCTAATTAATTACCGAACAAGGCTTCATCCAAGCCCAAGATCACATCCTTTGGTCCAACTTCCCTTAAGCCCATTCCAATTAATTTAAATAAATAAAATAATTAATCAAACACTTAAAATATTGAAAACTAATTCACGAAGCACATTAACAAACATGAATTTACAACTAAGTCACATCATACCAAGAAAATTAACATGCCAACAATCATCATATATAATCAAGAAATATAATTTAATTAAAACAAGACAATTAATTTACACACTTATTTAAATAAAACAAATCATTAAAAAAATAAAAATAAAAGCAATTAAATCAAACAAATCATTTAAAAATAAAATAATAGTAATTAATTCCAATTAATAAATCCTTTAAAATATCGGTTATTACAAAATCCTATTTTGTTGTTTCAATGATCTAATTTAGTTTTGAGTTGGTTTGTGTAATAACCATGCTATGTTGTTTTACATATATTAATTAGGGATTGTTTAGATGAGATTGTGTTTTCGATATTGAAATGATATTGTCATAGCGTGTAACGAATCGCACATTGAAGATTCGACATTGTGAATGTCATTGTAGACTTGAAACTTTAGGACATGGTTTGTGTGGATTCAACCTTACTTGTGTATGGGAATTGATTCCTATACATTATTTGAGTTGTATAAGTTTGGTCTAACTTATTGATTTTGCATGAGTTTTGAACTTTTGATTTTGGAAGGCTTGTAAGGAAAAGGAACATGTGATGGCTAGAGTTTGGCTCTAATACGGCGACAAGAGTCTCCTTAATCATATGAAGTGCGTATAGGTAGTACCTTGTGGAAGTAATAGCCCGGAATAACTTGCTTGGTCAGTAACCAAGTATTCCTAGTCCTTCCACTATTTGACTTGATTTCGCATTCTATTATAAGTTGTTAATCATGGATTACTTATAGCTTGTGAATTTGTGCTTGCCTTGTGCATTTGGATCTCATTTAGTATACTTGAAACCGTATACTTGCTTCGTGTATTTAGATCTCATTCAGCATACTTGAACTTGTACTCTTGTTTGTGTAGTAGAATCTCCTTTAGTGTGCTTGAACTCGTTTACTTACTCCGTGTGTGTAGGTTTCATTTAGTATACTTGTGCTATGTATACTTGTCTTATGCGTAATCCTATTAGTTTAGTATACTTGTGTTTGTGTACTTGATTTATGAATTTTTCATATTAAATGTATACTTGTGTAGGTATGCCTAGACATTGCATAACTTGTTTTAATATGGTTTAGTATAGTTGTAAATGTATGCTTAAATGTTGTATATTGTGTTTTAGCATCGTTTTGTATACTTAAGTATGTATACTTGTATGCCGTAGTTCATTTCAATTGCATGAGTAGCTTAGGATGATCCTTGAGTCTCACTTACGACATAGACATTAGGTAGCATGATCCTTTTGAATTGCTTCATGTTAATGTAATAGCCTTATAAAAAGTTAGGTTGATGCATGCTCATTCTCTACGAGTAACTTGTTTACTCATCCCAAAGTTATTGGGCTGTTTTCAGGTACGGATACCTTGGTTCGGGATGCACAATATCCTTAGATCGTTTCGTCAAATTGAAGTTCTTTCAAATGTATTTTTGTTCACATGCAAGTGTTAGCATACTTAACTTCTCTTTTGAATTATAATATAATTGTTTGGTTTAACATGTCAATTCCAATTTCGGATATGTAATGAGTGCCTAAGCACTCTTTTTAACACTCATTTGATATGTATAACATGAGGCCAAGGGCCACAAACCTTAAAGTTTAAGTGTATGTATTTAAACTTCAAGTTTCACCTTTGTAATGTAATTTTTCTAATTTTAGAGGTTTGACATATGATTTAAAGTAAATGGAATGTAATGAGGCCATAGGCTATTGTAGCGCATCTAAAATGTTATTTTATGTTTGCGTGTATGCTCACAATATCACACAAATACATGGTTTAAAATTTGATCATGCTAAAGGGGATTCAGATGAGACTTAAGAACCTTTTCATCTTTTAGTGCATAGCAAGCTTGATTTATACATTTTTGACCTGTTTCGGTCGACCGGTGGCTCATTTCGGTCGACTGGTTCTTTGTTCAATTTGATTTGAACAGTATTTCGTCATTTCTAGTAGATAAAGTTCTGTTTGGGCCACAACCGGTCAACTGATGCATCATTTCAGTCGACCGATGTGGTTTTCCTTCATTTTTCAGGTTTGGGGTCCTTTTGGGTTCATTTCGGTCGACCTAAATGCTTCAGTTCTTTATTCTTCAGTTTTGGGACAGTATTGTTGCTCCGACTTCAAATGGTCATAACTTCTTCATTTCTTATCCAAATTGGGTCATTTTTCAGTCAAACCTCAAGAGCTTGAAGTCAGATTTCCAATGGTACCAATCACACATAGAAACTCCAACGTAGTGAGAGTTATGACAGTTTTAGTGAGATATGGTTGTGGTATCTCTTAATCAGAGGACGTCGTATCGTTTTATCTTCATATCTTTTCCGTCCGAACTTGGAATCAGGTGATTCTTAATTCTAATTTCATTCATTTTTTGTTGTCTCTCCAATTGTGTGCATGGTGGCACCCATTTCAGTTTGGGATGACCATTTTGCCCTCAGTCCATTCCTTGGAGGGTTTTGAAACCCTAACTCCGGTCTTACTTTCGTGGAGTCACGGGACTCCTCAGAAGGCCACTCTCGTGTCTTAGGGATAATGCACATCTCTATGGACTTTTTTTTTATGTTTAGTTTCCGCATTTTGGATCCGTTTTGGGTCATCACAGGACACACTGGGTTTGTAAAATCCAGGGTCGTCACATACTTTTCTTGGAGTTTGGACAAATTATAGCGTTTGATCTTTATTATTTTAACATGCCTTTGAGAGTGCACGTGTTAACGACATCCCCTACCATTAATAAAAATTTAAAAAATGACTAAGTTGTCATTTTTTTATATTAAAAGACTCGATAACTTTATATTTTGAGATGAAATGACAAATATACTATGAAATACAAATTATTAATTTTCATACCAATTTTATATTATATTTTACAAAAACAAATTATTATTATTATTATTAATGACTTTTGATTAGTTATTTTTTTAATTTTAAAGTTGTAGGGTAATATAGTATTTATAAAAACAAAGAGTAATTGATAATTATCGAAAAAGAAGAAGGGTAATCGAGTCTTTTTGTTTGACGGATTGTTTTATTAAATTTTTGTTATATTAGATAAGAGCATCTGCAACCGTTGTGTGTATATATATATATATATATATATATTTTGTAAATATGATGTTTCATGATAGATTTACAAAAAAAATTTATATTATTTATTTTTTTTACACTTTTTGTGTAAAAATATATTCTTCAATAATAATCAACCAGTATCATGTATGGACCTCACATAATTTTTATAAACCTACTTAATATAAAGTTGATTCTTGAATGGAATAAGAAATAGGGAGGAGAAAGGAAATAAAGGTTGTGTAAAATACACAATAATTTTATACAATGTATCTTAACAGACTGCTAGAGATAAAAAAAAAAAAATTTACACATCACTTGTATATTTTGTACAAAAGAATATTTTTCTATTAGAGAGGTCAAAATAATCAAGATCAAATACTCTATCCCTGTATAGTTTGCTCAAAATGTTAGGGGGTCACTGTAATTTATTTCAAAGTCCTCTTTTCTATTACCAACATGTTTAAAAGCAAAATTTCAAAACAAATGTAGTTCCCTTCGCTCTTATTCTTGTTTGGGTCGCTGCTCTGCTCTGCTCTGCTCTTACACTCCGTGTTTGTTACGCGCTCTCTATCGACGATAATTATTAACAAGATGTTTCAAGGAGATGGAGCAAAAGAGTGGAGAGTGGCTTGTATGTTCTTACTCTTGTAAGTGTTCATTAATCTTTGGACCATGTTTGATCTTCCAATGCACATAGGTATAAGATTTCAAGTATTCTATATCAGTTCACACCACCTGTTTGATGAATTTCCTCAGAGAACGTGATTATTTGTTTATGTAACAGTTGGAATGTTCTTGCACGTATCATGTTTACTTGGCACTGTGATTGAAGCTCACGCACAGATTTATTGAAAATTCAAGCATTATGTTTTCACTTGCTTGTCTGGTTCGATGATTGCCTTGGGAAAAATGTCATTCTCGCTGAAATCGAAATGGCCAAGTTTGTTGCTGAAAACTATCAATGCCCAGAAACCAAGACAGTGTTTTTCTTCTCTCTACTGCACAATGCTGGAATACCAATCATCTATGGACTTAGATGAGTTATGTAGTGTTGTTTCAAGTGGAGTTGGTGGTTTAGACGATTTGGAAGCGAGTCTTAACAAGTTAACTTTGCCTTTGACTTCATCTCTTGTTACCCAAGTCCTTGATTCTTGTAAAAATGAAGCACCCACTAGAAAACTTCTCAGGTTCTTCTTGTGGTCTAGCAAAAATTTAAACCATGAATTGGAAGATAAGGATTTCAATCATGCAATTCGGGTGTTTGCAGAGCAAAAGGACTTCACGGCAATGGACATCATGATATCAGATCTCCTAAAGGAAGGTCGGGTAATGGAGGCCTCGACTTTTAGTCTTGTAGCTGAGACATTGGTTAAAATGGGGAGGGAAGATGAAGCTTTGGGCATTTTTAAGAACTTGGACAAGTTCAAGTGCCCACAAGATGAAGTTACAGTCACTGCCATTGTTACTGCTCTTTGCGCCAAAGGGCATGCTAAAAGAGCTGAAGGGGTTGTTTGGCACCATAAGGATAAGATTTCAGGTGTAAAGCCTTGTATTTATAGGACACTCCTTTATGGGTGGTCTGAGTTGGAGAAAGTAAAGGAAGCGCGGAGAATTATTAAAGAGATGAAGTCCGATGGAATTATGCCGGACCTTTTTTGCTATAATACATTCCTCAGGTGCCTTTGCGAGCGAAACCTGAAATCAAATCCATCTGGTCTTGTTCCCGAATCTTTAAATGTGATGATAGAAATGAGGTCTCATGGTATCGTACCTAATTCGATCAGTTACAATATATTGCTCTCTTGTTTGGGTAGAACACGGAGGGTCAAGGAATCTCTCCGCATTTTTTATTTGATGAGAAAATCGGGTTGTTTGCCTGATTGGACCAGCTATTATCTTGTTGCTAGAGTTTTGTATTTGACAGGGAGATTCGGTAAAGGTAAGCAAATTGTAGATAAGATGATTGACGAGGGGTTGGTGCCAGAACGTAAATTTTATTATGATTTAATTGGCATTCTCTGTGGAGTTGAGAGGGCAAATTATGCCCTTGAGCTGTTAGAGCAAATGAAGAAAAGCTCATTAGGTGGCTATGGGCCAGTATATGATTTGCTTATCCCAAAGCTTTGTAGAGGAGGAGATTTTGAACAGGGCAGAAAGCTCTGGGATGAGGCGACGACTATGGGTGTCACTCTTCAATGTTCAAGAGATGTGTTGGACCCCTCAGTCACTGAGGTTTTTAAGCCAATCAGGAAGGTGAGGGAAGAAGTTTACCTTGTGGAAATCAGACCTAGAGCTCGAATGCAAGCAGCAAAGACTAGGGGAAAAGGGAAGAAGAGAAAAAAGAAAAGGAAGAACACTTCAACTTAATTTGGTACTTTATATCATCTTCATAACTGCTTTCTTGTTATTCTCATAATATTAGTATTTTATATTTTGTTATTTGTATAATGCAGGAAAAATGCAATAAATGCTAATTATCTTCATACCGCTGTTACAACGTTATTATCAGCCAGGGATTAGTCTTCCACATCATTCTGTATTTTAGTATCTCAGAATAAACATACTTATATTATAATCCATAAAATCCATGAACTATCTCGTTTTCCTTGCTCTGTTGTCTCTCTGTTTCACATGATTATCGCCATGTTCACTCTCTGACCTATGGGTGTCTATGCACATTAGGGCACTATATTTGGGGTGGGGTGGGTGGGTGGGTGGGGGGTTAAATATAAACACTTTACAGGGGCTATTTAAATGCGATGCGACTTTTTCAAACATTATCATCCATTCATACTAGTTAGTCAGGATTCCTGCCAGATGAAAATATTTTAGCTAAATTTAGCCTTTGTGTTTTGGTAGGATTATTGACGAGAGAATTTCTGACAATGTTACCATTCTCATAAGCAAAACACCTCTAGATACTTATTACTTAGTAATAAATTTTATTTCAGGTGCAGTTAAAGGTATGATGCTAGATCTGCTTGTTATCAAGAGTCTCTTATATCATGATTCATGAGCAATGTTGGCTAAACATTTTCCGTTGATTGATTGAATTCTTGCAAATGTGGCAAAAGCAGTCTTCAAATTCCAATTAAGTTGCTAGATATCGTAATATAAAATTCTAGATGCAGGTTGGCTCCTTAAATTTACTTTTTTTTTTCCCCCTTTAATCCTAAATTTACTTCACCAGCTTCATGTTTTAATCTAGTTGTGCATTAATATCTTATGATATGCCCTTCAGCAAACTTGAATCTTTTGCAAAAGCCATGCAATTCCGACTTATAAAGTTGTGCCCTGAATTATTTGCAGAGCCAAAAGGTATTCTGCTTTCTATTGTTGGTAACCAGCTGAGGTAAACATTTCATTGTTTTTCCTTATCAACCATAGTTAAAATCCAAAAATTCTCCCTTGGGACATCATTCACCAATGTTAATTTCGGGTCTTCACCTTGGTTTTGCCTCAAAATAAGTACCTACATACAGCAAACTGTCCTTCTAGTTAGTTATCCACTTAATAACTAAGCAATTGATGGGTAGCTTTTCATTGGAACTGGATTCTTCATCTAGATTTTCCATATAATAATAATGCCAAGTTCCTCAATTCCATCAGCAGGTGTCCTTTGAATAAATCATAGCTAATCCTGATTTCTTGAATCTGTTATCAATGTCACCATTATTTTATGTCATGAAGCAGAGTGGAATTAATGAAGTGAATAAATGCCTTTTAAGCACTATGATCGATAGTAACCTGTAATATAGACTTAAAAATTTTACAAGACAACCGCAAGACCATCTATGCTTTATTCTATTGGATTCTAAACAATCAATAAACACCCTACATAAGGTTAACTTAGCCAAAACATTGATACTGCAATGGAGAAAGAGAGGACAAGAAAAAATAGGCTAGTAAATGAATACATTTATGAGAAGCCAGACGTACCCTGAGTCATGGACAACATGAGACAATGTCATTTAAGATGGTCTTAGTTTGCATGAAAGAGTTAGGTGCAACATTGATAAGGGTGAGTGATTGGTTTCAACTTGAAGACATCCAGGGATGAGGGGAAGGACAAAAAGAAATTGCTGCAACAAAATACATGGTGTTTCAACAGAAAAATGGCTGTTTGGTCCTTGATATACTTGAATATATAAACATATCTATATTTATGTGTATGAAAAGGATTTGTATAACCCCAAGTGGTCTTGTGAGGCTTTTATTGAGTTGGGTTGTGATTAGTATGTGGAACTTGACTTGTAAAATTGTTGCTAGATGCGGGTAACTAGGGGTTCTAGGTTGTGGAAGTTGTTAATCTAGTTGTAATTTCTTTCTAATACATTTGATTGTTCCTGACTGGCTAAGGTCCCATGTTTTTTTTCACTTAAACATACCATGTATCTGTTTTGCTTTATTTTTTATAGATGCATGATTGCGGTTTTGTTGAAAGAATACGAAACATTCAAATCACAACCAGAATAACTAACTGAAACAAGAATTAACAGTGATTCGAAAAGTTAGTTTGTTGCTAATTAATATATCCATAAGACCTATTGTCTAAGTCACCGTTCACACTCGGATGTATCCGAGCCTTGGGTAACAATCTCATGTTCTATCAATTGATATCAGAGCATATCTATTGTAGACTTAACAAAAACCTATTGGTTTGATCCTGTAGAATTTGACCCATTTTCTCTTTGAGCAAAGGCTACAAAATAAAACAGATTGGTTTTATTTTATTTTTTTATTGAAGTACTGTTAATCTTCTAGCTGAATGGAGTTAATGACAATATTTTCATGAAAAAACAGCACATCTCTGATTAGAAGGAGGTCTCAGAATTACTTTTACAACAAAGGGAAGATTTTGCCATCAAAATCAATGCATATTCCGTGTGTTGCTTCAGTGTGTATGATAGAGGCTTAGCCGTGGGAGAGGCAAAAGAGATGTAATGCTGATTTAGATGACCTGAATAATGTAAGTACCGAGTTGCTATAGTTACTATGAGTTTAAGCTAGAAAGCAATTTATTATATCCTGAAGGTGGTAATGGAGCAGTCCATTTAGGGAGGCATGATCTCCAGGTTGAGGTTGTGGAATTGAAGACCAACCTTCCTCACTTTTCCATATCCTGTTGCGGGATGTTAGTTTGTAAGTCTTCTCATTTTATCAATGAAATTTCCTTTTCTTCTTTGGGAAAAGTACTTTTTCGATCTATTTCAATGTTCTAGCCAAGGTTGTAAAACAACTAAATAAGTGAAGCCAACATGCACCTCATAGAAAGAAATTTTATTGATATTGGGACCTGTATATTACGTTAGAATTGATTGTAAAATTACAGTTTTCTCTGTAATTTCAATGCAGTTAGAGGAACTTCATTATATATATATATTTTCTGCTGATTTTAATTACCCACTGCCATGTTCTGATACATATATATATATATATTTCCTTGTTTGTAGTGTTTGTGTGTGCGTATATATATATGATTACTTGGGGTTTATTTCTCAAGAACCCATCTTGAACCTTAAAGTAGGAGGTGTCTGCGTTCTAAGATGCGTATCTATGATGCATTGCCACTTGATGGCCTGGGGATGATTCTTTGCTTATACATTTTGCCTACTTATCTTCAACCAAAAATATCATCTCTGAGTCTTCAGGCTGGCATTTCAGCATAATGGGGGCAATAAGATCTTCTGAACTTATTTTAAAACTGCCTTCACTTTTGGGCAAATAAATGAAATTTCAGTCATGGTGCATGAGATAGAATTGAGGTTTATTGATAAGTTTTGTTAACAAAAAATAGTTCATTAAATATTGGGGCATGTTATGTCTTGATGAGAATCATCTAGCTGCATTATTATTATTATTATTATTATTATTATTATCATTTGTCGTTTTTAGGTAATAACACAGACACCCAACTCACACAACTCCCACTATGCCCTAATGTGGACTTGAACTCTCAATGTTTCAAATGGGAGGGGAAAGAGAAACCACTTATGCTAAAGGCTCGACGGTAATTATCTTTAGAGCTCACTTTCCAGTAAATTGTGTGAATTAACTTTTTTGTGCAGACACTTTAGGATACAATCATTTGCAAATATGATGTGAAATTAAGGGCTGACCTAGAAGTATTAATACCAATCTCAATGTATGCACAAGTCACTGTAATGCTGGTGTCATAGAGATAAATAGATATAGGACATTGGGTCCCTTCACCCAACACATCTAGATTGAATTGTGCCTTTCTGGACTCCCACTTGGTATATCCTGGCCACCTATGTCTCTTTATGTGTTAAGTTCTTGCATCTGCATTTCTGAAACTGCCAAATAAGTAGCTGGAAGATGTTCAGTCCACCTCCAGTCTTGAGATGTTGCTCTCTGATTTACTTAATAAGTTGATTGGATTCTCCAGAATGTCATTTAGACCTTGGATTAGTTTGTTGCATTAAATATCCATTTTCTGAATGATACAAAAAATGGTGTGTCCATATTTAGGCTTGGAAGCGGCAGCACATCCTTGAATGTCTCCTGATCCTCATTTTTTTCCTCTTATTTTTTTTTTTCTTTCTGTTTGGGTGTGTGTATGTGTGTAGGTTTTTCAAATGTGTGAAGACCAAAAAAAAAAAAACATGGGGTGTCTGGGGGCTTCGCCCCAACTAATTCCCAAGGATCTAGGAAGGGCGCCTCCGCACCCGAGGCCGGAAAAGTCGTGGAGTATGGCCGCGGAAGCATAGCCCCAAGGAAATTGTTTGCACTCCATGGGAGTCGAACCTCAGACTTAAATATTTAATGCTTCATGAGGCACCAGGGCCAAGTGATCTTGCCAGTTGGGCTAACCCCTTGGGGTTGTTTTGGTAGATTCTTACCTGTGTAGTTCCTATTAATTGAAAACATATGTTCATCTCAAGATTTGGCATCCTGGAACCTATGATTAAATTTAGAAAATAATAAGATGGAATTTATATTTCTATCTTTTTTGTGCTATATATTTTCATTTTACCCATATCGTGCTTTGATTTATTACCCGTTTGTGCGATCCACCTACAGGAATCAGATCAGGTTGATCAGTGTTCCTTCATATGTATAAACATTTCAATATCTGAGACGGTTTGATTTGTGATTTCAGATTTTCTAGTAACCTTCAAACTATGTGACTCAGAAAAATGCTTGAGCAGTTCAAAGTTCAAACTAAAAAATCAGCTTTATAAGATTTTTGACTCTGAACAAATTAAGCTGTGACAGATCAGGACTATTTGAGAGGTACAGATGAAATGGTAGCCTTGTCATTTTTTTCCCCGTAAATTGGGAGCCTCTTAAATTTTTGGACAATACTTGCCTACCCAATAGGTCCAATCACAAATGGACAAATATTTTGCAATTACAAAATAAGAAATTGATAAATAAAGAAATCAGAGAGGATGGTTAAAATTATTCTTAAAAAAAACATGTTATCGTCTTGATTTATGCTTTCTTGATTTTGTAATTAGAAATTATGTATATATTTGTAATTATACTTTCTTGATTTTGTAATTAGAAATTATTTATATATTTCTAATTAGATCACAAATGAGGAAGTAAGTATTGTCCTAAATTTTTTATCTTTTATTTATTTATTTATTTATTTTGGGTAGCCTCTTAAAGTGGCCAATGAATAAGGCTAAAAAGTCAATTCCTCAGATCTGTCACTATTCACCTGTAAAGCCTCCAGTTCAGGGTAGTGTTGATGGCTGAATCTGCATCTAGTGGTTATTTTGTTGCTTTTTGATTCCTCATATCTGTAATTATTCACTACTAAAGGCTCTAGTTCAAAGTAGCGTTGGCTGAATCTGCATCTCAGTGTTTGTTTTGTTGCTTTAACTGAAGTTACATTGTCAACCCCACGGGAAATCATTACATGGTGCGGTCTACATATTCTTGGCAATCACAACCGAACAGGAAAAAAAAAAAATTCTAATAAATTTGACATTTTTTTAATTAAATTTTTATTGAAAGATTAAGCAAACTCGCACACATGCCTCCATCGAGGGTTTGAACCATCGACCTCCCTAAAAGAGAGGTAAGTTTATACTTAAATCATACAATTCTTCTCAGCAGGTGTCGCTTTTACGCTCTAGATACGTTTCTGCTCTCAGATTTTGCGTGCGCTCTCGCTTTTATTCTCACTTTGTGTAACTTAATTTTGTTGCTTTCGTACTTCCGCTCTCGAACTCTTCGTTTTATGTTACTTAGGTTTGTATCAGTCGGACAATTGCCCATTTAGTAAAACTGACAAATGATTAGGGGGACAATGTAAAAATTTCTTTCAACCCCAACTCTTTGTTCTGCATAAGTCCGAATCTAGTTTTGACACTAGAGGTTCCATTATACATTTTGGGACAACTTTCATCTACAAGTACAAAAAGTAAGAAATTGGAAGAAAGAAGACAATGGTGGAAAACTTGGCAGTTAGGCACATGGCACATGGGCGGAGAAGGCAAGATCCCAAAAAATTGATGGTGATTCCATCTTATTACACTCATTTGTCATCCACCCCCACCCCACCCCCACCCCCACATGGCATTGCCACCAACAATATCTTTGATCTTAAATATGTTTTATCCTTATTACACCACGCAGACAATACTTAAACATGGATATGACTACTTCAACATGAATAGGAGATATGTGTTACACTTTTGGCTTATACATGTGTTTAAAAACATATTTAATAATTAATTATATTATATTATTGTTTTTCCTTCATGTTATATTTGGGAGTATCACATGTAGTATGGTTTTAATTGAAAAAGTAAAAAAATATTTAGAATTTTTGAGTTGAAAATTATTCAATCCTAAATTCATAGCACAATTTTAGTGCTTTCAGACTCAAAAATGAAAATTATGTTAAATTAAGATATTATTATTATTATTATTTTTTGAAAATTTGATATGTTGGACACATGAATATTTACATACTCACACACGTGTCCACACAACACTAATACAAGCTAAAAACAAAGAAATCCAAATAATGAAACCTTTCCTTCTTACAACCCAATGAAATAATAATACAAATCTAGTGTGATTGGTACGTCAATATGTAGTGATTGGCGGATTCGGAATAGGTGAGATCTGTCCACCAAACTCAAATATAGAGTTTATATCTTATGCATCATTTGATTTGCTAAAAAAAATAGAAAGACATGTTGACCACCACTACCATTCCTCAACATTATGTCTATAAAACAGTGAACCGGCCTCTTGTTATAAATATAATATCTACCATACATAAGAAAGATAACCACACAAAAGTAATAAGCAATATAATAAAAGATACGGCAATTTGCAAAGACATGATAACAAGGTTGCTCATACTTTAGCCCAACATTTGAAGTATCATATTTTGAATGATGTTTTTTTAGCTCATATCTTTTGTAATGTCCTGAGCATTGTTGATCATGACTTTGTCAGCTCAGATTTGTAATTTTCTTCTCTCTGCCAGGAATATATATAATAAAAGAGATATATGGAAGAAAGCTTTATTATATTTTTCATATCCCACGTACAGACACAATCTTTTTTTCACACACACACGCGTATACACACACACACACACACACCCCAATATAGTTGTCTTAGTCATTGCCTCATTGTTTATTTACTTAACACCTAGCTACAAGTTTTATTCCTAATTAGAGTACAACCACTTATCTCGTGTATGCTTGCTCACAAGTACAGCACAGCACCAACTTATATATGAGATAACATTGCCTTATAAATCGTCCCACATATAAGATATATGTAACATTCTCTATTGGGGTCTATTACATTACATTAAGGATATGCCTTGTTAAACTCTTATTAGAGAAAACACAGTGGGACAAAAACTTTAGTGAAGGAAAAATAGTACAATATTCTTGTGTGTCTGAAAATGATATTGCATAGGTTAAAACTATCTCATTAAAACGTACTTTATCAGGAAAACTAAGTGCGACAAAACTTGAACGAAAGAAAAAGAGTGTAGCATACTAAATACCTTTTCAGTTAATAGCTCCTCCTCCTCATAAAAAGATCATTGAGTAAGCACATTTTAATGTTGTGCAGTAGCTTCTTGAATGTTGCAGTCGGTAGTGCTTTAGTGAACAAGTTTGTCAAATTATCATTGGAGCGTATTTGCATAGCATCAATGTCACGGCTCTTCTGGATCTCGTGTGTGAAGAAGAACTTTGGTGAAATGTGTTTGGTTTTGTCACGTTTGATGTAGCATCCTCTTATCTATGTAATACACGTTGCATTGTCTTCATATACAATTGTTAGGCTACAAAGAGAGTCCACATGATTCTTGAATATGTTGTACCATAGATCTTAACCAAACACACTCTCGACCTAATTTATGAATTGTGAGTATGTCAGAGTGATTTGAAGAAGTAGTAGTCATTGTCCACTTATAGTGTTGCCACGAATAAACACATACCTTGTTTGTGATCGAGTTTTATGTGGGTCGAAAATATAATCAGCGTCTGCGTACCTAAACATTAATGAGACGTTGATTCTCTTGCATAAAACAATCCTATATCAGTTGTGCCACAAAGGTGACGCATTATATACTTGACCCTATTCCAATGTTTTTGAGTTGGTGCAGAACTGTACCATACTAGCAAGTTGACTAAAAATGCTATTTCAAGTCGGGTTCTATTTGCTAGATATATAAGAGCACCAATTGTACTAAGATATGATACTTCAGTATTAAGAAGTTCTTCGTCATCTTCTGGAGGACGAGAATGTGCTTTCTTAACATCAAGTGATCGAACAATCATTGGGAAGCTCAATGGATGAGTTATATCCATATAAAAGCATTTCATGACTTTTTCTATGTGTGTTAATTAATGGATAATAATTTCACTTGGGAAATGCTCGATCTACAAGCCAAAATATAGTTTTATTTTTTCAAGATCTTTCATTTCGATTTTTTTTTCCAAATAATTAGCAGTTGTGGTGAGATCTTCAGGAGTTCCCACGGGATTCAGATCGTAAGCATATATACTGCTATAATAGCAAATCCATAGTCGGATTTCTTAATGAAAACACATTGACATATTGAATTATTCACATATCCTTCTTTCACTAAATACTTGCTGAGACGATTGTACCACATGCGTCTAAATTGCTTCAATTCGTATAAGAATCGTTGTAACTTGATCGAATACATGCAACATGGTTTTTAGTTATTTACTTCAGGCAATTTAAATCCTTCAGCGATTTTTATGTAAATATCACTATCTAGTGATCTATATAAATATATTGTAATCACGTCCATTAGACACAGATCTAGTCCTTCTGAGATTGTCAAACTGATCAAGAAACGAAATGTGATTGCATCCATTACAGGAGAATATGTCTCCACATAATCAATACTAGGTGTCTGCAAAAAAAACCTTATACCACAAGTCGAGCTTTGTATCTCACAATCTCATTTTTTTCATTTCATTTTCATACAAATACCCATTTGTACCTGTAATACCCCCGAATTTCCGAATGCGGGTTGGCCAGGCCCACGCCCGAATACCCGAGGATATCAAAACAAATTGATAATAAACGAACACAGAGTACAAAAGAATAAAAAAGAATAAATAAAATGCTGACAAGAAACTAAAATGATAATCTAATAATAAATCTCATAATATATTTCCATTAATTAATAAACTCTTCTGATACAACTGATCCTCCAAAATACAACTCGGGAATCCATACTATGTGGACCCCTAGAAAATCCAAACTAAACAAATAACAGTAATCTAAAACAGGAAACTGAATCATAAAGGAACTCCTATGTAGCATCGGAAGAATGAAGTGGACTGATCCCCGCTCAGCACGAACAACTCTACTCGTGACGAACACCTGAAAAATAATGGTGGGTCAGGCCCACAAACAAGTTCTACTCTACTACAGTCCAAGCAGAGATCCGATACAAGTA